TTATCGGTACACGGAAAAAAAATCTATTTTTAATTCACAGTAATTTTTCTGTGAATAGATAATATTAACTGTTTGATCCCTAGATTTATTAATCTGTCATTGCCCAGTATTTTTCCTGCTTATATGACAGACCCCAATTAAAGGCCTCTTTCCACATTGAAATTTTCTTTTAAATCATGAAGTTTTCCCAAAAATCTGAACTTTAACCTACTTTTTTACTTCCCAAATTAGCAATTTTTGTGATGATTTTTCCCAAAATCAAGAGGCTAAGGCCTGGAAGACGGACAAAACCCCACCAGTTAAAACCCCACCACTCAAAATTTTATAGAGTGGACAAAACCCCACCACTAAATTTTATAGAGTGGACAAAACCCCACCACTTAATTTCACAGAGTGGACAAAACCCCACCACTTATTGGGCAAGATTTGATGAATTATAATATATTATATAGAAATTTTTTTCACATTTTATTTTTTAATTTCAATAAAACATTTGTGTAATATAAGAATGAACAATTTTATTAACAATGCATGTACATCTTGCATGTGCAATATGCAAAAAAGGTGTTACAAACTGTACACAAAAACTTCATCCTAATCCCTGAAGAACAAAACAGATTATTTATTGATGTTTTGATTGCAAAAAAGGTGTTAAAAACTGTAACTCCTTATTGATGAGTTGTTCACACATTATTTTGAGTTTCAGCTGATGCACGATTGTTTGTTTTTTAACATGTTTACAAGAAAGTTTTGTCCACTCTATAAAACTGAAGTGGTGGGGTTTTGTCCACTCTATGAAATGTAGTGGTGGGGTTTTGTCCACTCTATAAAATTTTGAGTGGTGGGGTTTTAACTGGTGGGGTTTTGTCCTACATTCCTAAGGCCTCTCTTCCCAATCAGTGGGAAATAAACTGTTGCCTGTAATGCAATATATTACATAAATGTCAAATAACATGTTTATTTTATTTGAAAATATTTTTGACACTTGTACTTATATTGAGGATGTGTTTGATTCTTACTTGGGTCATTGACCCACTGCCATTTTTCCTAGTATGAAACCATAACTCAATTTACTGGTACCAGTTTGCAGCAGTGGACTCCAGGCCTTGAGGTTATAAAACTTCTTTTTGAGTTCTGTCTCAAATCTCAGGATTTTCATTGGTCAGTGTACATTCTGTGACAGTTTCTGACCAATCAAATACCCGAGAACTGAGTTTAAGATTAGAATATTTCTTTAAAACCTTGGGCCTGGGTGTAAGGTTAAAAATGAAATTTGGTAGAATCTAGCTGTTGTCACCAGCAGCAGACTAAAAGTTAAGATTATGATAAATAAATGACAATGAGATTAGTTTTTCAACATTCCAATTTTAATATTCAGTTTTTCAAATAAATTTTGTTTCATATTATGAATTTATGAAGTTTACAATTTGATTAGGCATACAGCTTCACAAAAGCAGAGTTCGTTTAACTTAATATGACAGTGATTTTCCTACTTATATGACAGACTCCAATAAAAGGCCTCTTCCCAATTGAAATTTTCTTTAAAATCATGCAGTTTTCCCAAAAATCTGAACTTAAACCAGCTTTTTAACTTCCCAAATCAACAATTTTAGTGATAATTTTTCCCCAAAATCAAGAGGCTCAGGCCTCTTCCCAATTAAGTGAGAAAAATCACTGTATGATGATTGAAACTTAGTATGCCATACTTCCGCCCATTTTTATTAGTCATTGAAATATCTGTGTTTATGACTCAATTTATTTTGGTCTCAGTTGCACATATAACAAGTCACAAATGTTCAAAAATAGTCTATTTCTAATTAGTGTATTTAGATAAATCAGCTAATGAGAACTGAAAAAGGATAGGATTTTGGAGGTCTTTAGTGCCCAAACATTTGTAGTGATTTAGTCCATTAGATTAAAAGTATGAAAGCCATTTTAACAGTTTTTTCAGACTTGTGATTTTAACAGTATTTCTAGTGTTTCAGCCAGTTTAACAGTTTTTTCAGCTACTTCAACAGTTTGTTGCTTTTTTTGTTTTGTTGTTGTTGTTTTCCTTTAGAAAAAAAAACACAACAGTTTTGGCAGTCGGTTAGCCTGTTTAACAGTATGCTATCTAGAAATCTAAACTGTAATTCATCTATTTTAAATAACTTTTTTCAGCCAGTATAGCAGTATTTCAGCCAGTTTAAGAGTACAACAGCCAGTTTACAGTATTTTTAGTCAGTATAGCAGTATTTTAGCCAGTTTAATCGTACCACAGCCAGTATAGCTTTATTTCAGGCAGTATAATAGTATAACAGCCAGTTTACAGTATTTCAGCTTGTATAACAGTATTTCAGCCAGTATAGCAGTATTTTAGCCAGTCTAATCATACCACAGTCAATATAGCAGTATTTCAGGCAGTATAATGGTATAACAGCCAGTATAGCAGTATTTTAGCAAGTTTAATAGTATATGTACATGTATTTCAGTCAGTATAGCAATATTTTAGTCAGTTAAATAGTATAACAGCCAATTTACAGTATTTTAGCCAGTATAGCAGTATCTCAGCTAGTTTAATAGTAGTACATGTATTTCAGTCAGTATAGCAGTATTTTAGCCAGTTTTAAACAGTGTTACTGTTAGTTAAAAGAGAAAAATATTGTTCTCAGAAATTATGAATCATGCTCAAAACTAATGTGATGATGTTTAACATTATTTTGTTGGTGGTGTAATAGGTAATATCCTTGATGTTAATTTTGGATAATTTATTATCATCATTATTAACTATAAAGTGATAAATCATGTCTATAGAGACCATGCAGTGGTTTTCACCTGCCTTTGTCTGCTCTTTGTTTGCTAAAGAGGGCTATCTACAACATTCCTAGACCACCAGCTGGCCTCCTTTTATCAGTGTAATCTTTGTAAATCTCTTTGATGGCTCATCAGCGCAAGACTGGTTTATCTGGTGTTTACATATAGGCAGTAGGTACATTAGTTTTGCGTTTATTCAATGTTGTATGTCACCAGAGCAAAACGGGTGTAAAATGCAGACAGGTAGCATAACTACATCATTGATGCAGCATTTCCTGCTGTGTGGGTTAAAGATACCTGTGGAAAATGATGTAAAAATGATTTAGCGCGAAATTGGTGTAAATTCATGACAAATAAAGTGGCAGATGTGATAGTTTGCCACCTTGTTTTGAATAGGGGACAGTTTGACAGTTTATACTATTACAGCATATGGCATTTTCCTCCCTGATTTATCTACAGATTGTGTAAAGCTTTAGTTTATTTATATATTTATCTTTCAGCCACTTAGACAGGCTAATTGATACCTGAAACTTGAGACTGACTGACATCCTGTTAATTCTCTGCTACTGATAAATAGTAAATCTAGGCAAGAGGTTTATTTATGCAGATAAAATAAGACTTTGGTCAGTGAAAGATACAAAAATTAAAAATCTGAGTTGAAAATAAAATCATTTCAAATGTGTAATTTGCTTTGGTATTTTAAAATTTAAGCTGATGTGAAGGAGGATAATTCATGTACATTATTTTGCCATGACTAAAAAAAATAGATTCACTGCCATTTTAGGCGCTGAAATTTGGGTTATTTTAGGGCTGATATTGGGCCTCCATCCATTCCAGTCTAGTCTTTAAAAAGTTTTTTCCCCTTCCTTAAAAACATGTATGACTAGAAATAATGTTCAAACTGAAATTTAAGTACTTTTCTATAGTTCTTGAACTTAAATGATCAAATTTTTCAAATGAAAGTAATTTATAATCAACCATTTTGCTTTTACTTGTTTCCCTATGTTCCCTGCTTTTATTTGTTCCCCTATGTCCCCTGCTTTTACTTGTTCCCCTATGCCCCCTCCAATTTTCCATGCATTTAGAGTCCTGCCCATGTGCTCAGCCTCCTCCTGGCCAGTTTCTATCCTTTTGTCCCTAAACTTGTAAAATTTTTCAAATGAACTTGTCCAATTTTCTTTTTTTGGACCAATATATTATCATTTTTGGGGATATCAGGACAAAAATTCAAAGATGGTAAGCCAACTGTATAAAGTCTTGACATTCGGACTGGTCGGGCCAAAGGCTTATCAAGTTTGGTTCCAGTTGGTGAAAGATTAATCAATAACGTTTATTCTACCTAAAAATATCATTGGACTGTTCTAAATTTTAAAGCCAGGCATGCTTAATTTCAATTGGGTAACAGTTCAAGACAACGGAAATAAAGCGATAACAGAAATTTTATGGTTTTACAGCACACTTCTTCAAAGGTCAGGTTGCTAGGTAATTTCTGCTACTTAGTAACAAGGCAGGAAACATTCTAGTAAACCTAATTACATTTTCTTGTTAAAAAAAAACGGAGAATTTTTGTTTCAAACAAAAGCATAGCCAATCTTACTGGCAGACATAAAAGGGGAGACATAATGTAGTTGTAATATAAATTAATTGTAAACAGCTTTTGATTTATCAATTATTAATGGACTCCCAAGTTGATGAATATAACAACTATCTTTCCCATGATTTCCTAGAAATACCAGTGTTAATTATGTTTTGAAAAAAAGTTTTTTGTATTCCATTGCTGAAAAGAAAATCACTGTCTTTCAGGTTTTACTATTAAAAAAAAAACAACAACAAAAAAAAACACACTCACAAAATAATAAGTGCGTATCTATCATACTTTATTTACAGAATACTTGGTTTAAACATATTTATTTAATATTGATTGAGAAACAAGTTCTTGCAACTTATATTAATCACTTTCGAGTCCGCTTCCTGGAACAAACCAGTACTGGTGTCGTATGAAAAAACATGGCTGTGACCCGAGTAGGACTCGAACCCATGATCCCTGGGTTGAGAGGCAGACACCTTAACCACTAGGCCACCGCTCCCCTTTTATCGATTTTTGTTTAACCATATTGCATGTAGTCTGACGGTGAAAGTCAATGTATATGTATTTGCTTATAAATAAATGAACACATTTAATTATGATTTTCCTTTCTTGATTTCAGGCATCATCGAAAGATGTTGTACATAAGACATGTCAGGAGGCTTTCCTGTACAGAGACAGACGGAAAGTTCCAGATACAGTTGTCAGTAACATAGCAACACAGTATGGTATATCTTCTGAAGAAGCTAAAAAGGTACGCCATACTGTTTAAATATTGCAATCCAGAAATTTTTCCATGGAACATTTTTTGCTCTGGACATTACTGGATATATATCATATCATATAGTTAATTTCGCAATAGCTGAAGTTGACAAGTTTATTTTTAGAAAAATCATTAGCAATAACAGGGATAAAACATTGATATAAATCAATAATGTTGGAAATGAATAATTTAATAGTAAAATATAGTAGTATTTAGGTTAAAGGGAGAGAATGATAGGCAAATCCAAATTTATGGTCAAAGGGAGGTAATGTGCATCAGATTTAGTAAAATAGGCTCAAACTTATGGTCTAAGGGAGATAATTTACTTTAATCTCTGATAGATTTCTAATGTTTCTGTTTATTAGATAGTTTGATAGCTTGCTAAATATGAAAGAATGTTAAAATATTTTGAGAGATTTATAATATGACAATGTATATTTATATTTTCTTGAAAATCTCTCTGAATATGCATTATTAACCCATTACTTCATATACACGCCTTTTAACGCCTTTTTCATCCCCCCCCCTTTTTGTTGTCTCAAATGGTGAAAAAATGCATTATTTAGGCCCTTAACACTTGTTTTTGTTTGAGAAATGTTGTTAAAAAAAGTGACCACTTTTTCGGCGCGGCCCCCCAACCAAAAGATACATCAGGGGGTTGCCAGAAGGGGGATGTGCCCCCTTCTGTTTGGGGGGGTTTGAAGGGGGGCGGAGTCCCCCTCATCGCCAAGAAAATTTTGGACTTGTGAGAGGCTATAAATGACCCCAGATTGATCATAAGGTAACGTGTAACCAACGCTGAAAAGCATTTGACTCTATCTCAATCCATTGAGAAGTTGCAGCACTTTGAAATCAATTATAATGGAAAAAATCAACGCAAAATAGTGATTTTTGGCAATTTTGAGATGTCCCCTCGTTGCCATGGTAACAGAAAATTTAAGCCTGAGCATGTTGTTGCAAGGGCAATGGTCCAGTCAACATTTGTGCCAAGTTTGATTAGTGTTGAAGCAGTTTTTATAGTATTATAGCAATTTGAACTTGTAACGGGAGACTTTTCAATGAAAACAGCCATTTTTCACAAAATGCTCATGAAGTAATGGGTTAATGAAAAAAATAAAAAAATCTACAAAACAACAATTTTTCTTCAAATTTATATGACAGGCCATGTTTAAACATGGAAAAACGCAATTTAGAGTAATTTCAAGTATTTTCATCATTTTCTGTTAACCCATTACTTCATATACACGCCTTTTAACGCCTTTTTCATCCCCCCCCCCTTTTTGTTGTCTCAGATGGTGAAAAAATGCATTATTTAGGCCCTTAACACTTGTTTTTGTTTGAGAAATGTTGTTAAAAAAAGTGACCACTTTTTCGGCGCGGCCCCCCAACCAAAAGATACATCAGGGGGTTGCCAGAAGGGGGATGTGCCCCCTTCTGTTTGGGGGGGTTTGAAGGGGGGCGGAGTCCCCCTCATCGCCAAGAAAATTTTGGACTTGTGAGAGGCTATAAATGACCCCAGATTGATCATAAGGTAACGTGTAACCAACGCTGAAAAGCATTTGACTCCATCTCAATCCATTGAGAAGTTGCAGCACTTTGAAATCAATTATAATGGAAAAAATCAACGCAAAATAGTGATTTTTGGCAATTTTGAGATGTCCCCTCGTTGCCATGGTAACAGAAAATTTAAGCCTGAGCATGTTGTTGCAAGGGCAATGGTCCAGTTAACATTTGTGCCAAGTTTGATTAGTGTTGAAGCAGTTTTTATAGTATTATAGCAATTTGAACTTGTAACGGGAGACTTTTCAATGAAAACAGCCATTTTTCACAAAATGCTCATGAAGTAATGGGTTAATGAAAAAAATAAAAAAAAATTACAAAACAACAATTTTTCTTCAAATTTATATGACAGGCCATGTTTAAACATGGAAAACGCAATTTAGAGTAATTTCAAGTATTTTCATCATTTTCTGTTAACCCATTACTTCATATACACGCCTTTTAACGCCTTTTTCACCCCCCCCCCTTTTTGTTGTCTCAAATGGTGAAAAAATGCATTATTTAGGCCCTTAACACTTGTTTTTGTTTGAGAAATGTTGTTAAAAAAAGTGACCACTTTTTCGGCGCGGCCCCCAACCAAAAGATACATCAGGGGGTTGCCAGAAGGGGGATGTGCCCCCTTCTGTTTGGGGGGTTTGAAGGGGGGCGGAGTCCCCCTCATCGCCAAGAAAATTTTGGACTTGTGAGAGGCTATAAATGACCCCAGATTGATCATAAGGTAACGTGTAACCAACGCTGAAAAGCATTTGACTCTATCTCAATCCATTGAGAAGTTGCAGCACTTTGAAATCAATTATAATGGAAAAAATCAACGCAAAATAGTGATTTTTGGCAATTTTGAGATGTCCCCTCGTTGCCATGGTAACAGAAAATTTAAGCCTGAGCATGTTGTTGCAAGGGCAATGGTCCAGTCAACATTTGTGCCAAGTTTGATTAGTGTTGAAGCAGTTTTTATAGTATTATAGCAATTTGAACTTGTAACGGGAGACTTTTCAATGAAAACAGCCATTTTTCACAAAATGCTCATGAAGTAATGGGTTAAGATAAATGATTTTCTTAATCAGGATAGAAACACACTTTGGTATCTATAAACATGTTATGAGAAAAATGGTCTGTACAAATACATTGATATAAAGTTGAACCAATCTCCAGTGCAGCTACTTAAATTTCAGAAAATTTATAAATATAATTTACATAGCCAAGCTAGGAAGGAATATATTTGCTAAACTTACATGTATAAAACTTTAGCCTGGTGCTTATACAATTGAATTTTAATTATTAACCATAAACATCTACAGTTGGTCATTAGATGGCAAATTTCTGGTTCTGAGATTTTTCTTTACAATTCAGTGGAGACTAAATCATGTCTAAAAATTTCTTTGCCTAATGGCTAAACATGTCTGGTGTAAATTTATTTCAGAATTTATTACCAAAATTATACAACTGAAAATAAAGTGAATGTTTATCACCAATTTTTGTATCCTGTAAAATTTTATTACATCTTACACTATTGTTATTCACTATGGTAACAATATTATATTTTTGCATTATATAGTAGTATCATAATATTAAAAGTGACTGCCATTTGTTTTCTAGTTGCTCGTATCCCTGGGTTCACTGATGAAAAGTGCTGTTTTCCAAGGTTCGGTAGAGCCATCAGAACTGATTAAACTATTTCCAAGTAAGTTTTAATCTTTCCGCAACCAGCTTGTGTATTAAATTCTGAGTGAGGCTGAAAATAGTGATGGAGCACCATACTAAAATACCGTATTCTAGTAAATACTGGACAAGGCGCTTGAATTATTATATGCTAAAATCTTGCCTTTTCACAAAATGGAATGAACTGTTAAATGTCTAATTTATCTCTTCACACCGATTTATATATGATAATCATTAATGAATGAAAAATGTAGAAATAGGCAGAAAAAAATGATATTTTTCTACTATGTGAACATGATTTCTGCAAGCGTCTAGAGGTACTTCTCCAACACTGTACATTAGTGAGTTAAATCTGTAAATTAGTAGTAGTTGTGAAGAAACCAAGTTAGGTGGATTGACAGTAGAGAAATTGAAAAATTGTGTTAAAATCGATGTAAAAGCAAAATTAACAAACATATAATTATGATTCAGATAAGGATTTGTTTATAACTCATGGTATACCTCTTGGAAATCCATGTGATAAATAAACAATGTTAATTTCAATGTTTAAACAACAAAGTCAGATATAGAAAGCAGGTGGAAGAGTGGTGATTCTTTACTACTTTATGTTACTATACTGTATAAGTACTTATTTCGGCTTGATATTCTGGGATTTTTGTTGTTTTGTTTTTTTAAGGTTCTCTTGTAATTGTCTTATCAATCTATTTATTTCAGATGACTTTCACAAAAGTTTGAGGGACCTTTTAGCAAAAATTATGATAGAAAATATGTCAACATGGCGAGCCCAGGCTGTAAATAATCAGGGTAAATATGGCTGTTTAAATGCTGAACATTCTATACATACTTACTATCTTAAACTCCTTGATTTGAGTAAGTCAGCAAGATAAGAAATTTGTACATGTAGAATGTCACTTTTTATAGCCCAAGTAAGTTGTAAAGGGAGTTTTATTTGATTTAAAAACACATACCTATCAAATCTTGAGCACATACTTTTTGGCCCCAAAGATAATTATGTTGTCATCTTTGTCTGTATGTTTGTCCAAAGTCTTGGCTGTTCATTATTTGTCATTCTTTCAATGATTTTCTTTAAAACATGGCACAAATGTTCACCATTATGAGTCCATGTGGGATGTGCCAGCTCAAAGTTCAAGGTCACTTATAGAGGTCAAAGGTCTATAATGGAGTATTTTTTTATGTCTGACCAAGATGGATTTTTTAATTGATTTGGCTTAAATGTTTACCAGCATTAGACCATGATACAGCCGCAAGCCACAGGTCTGTAGCACAAAGGTCTTAGTTACAGATAAAGTTATGTTTTTAAGGTAAATAATTAGGTATTTAAAATAGGTTTTTTAATATAACTGAATATAATTATAGATTGGATATTTTAAGTTCCTATATTTTTCTCTGCTTCAGTTTCACTACCTCGGATGGTTGACTTTGACTGGAGAGTTGATATCAAAACATCGTCTGATTCTATAGCAAGAATGTCTGTACCTACATGTATATTACAAATGAAGGTTAGTATAGCTGAATTTTCTGTGCAGATCTCTGCCTACAGTATATAGAGCCAGGCTGGCCTGCTTTCATGCGATCTGACCAGATTTTATGAATTTTAAGAGGGGTCCATCGGCCATTTCAGGCAATGTGTAGCAGAAAATAATGTAAAAAAAGGAGTGTGACTCCAGCCATATCATCATTTATGTGCTTCTGAATTGCTAAAAGAGGAAAATTTACCATAATAATTGTCACCTTAATGCAATTACTGATCAACTCCTATTAGATTTTGAAGGTTTAACCCATTACTGCACTGAAATGACACATTCTGCAATTTTTATAGAGTATTAATTAATCTTAAAAAGTTTAAGAAAGGTTACTGTTCTGTGGCCCAATGAGAGCAAAGGATATACAGGGACTCTGGTAAACTGACTTAATGAAAGCCTATAATTATTGTAGTCATCACCTGACAAAATTAATGTTGACTGCTTAATTTATAGTATTTACATGAAGATCTGGTAATTAATTTACCAACAGACTATGCCAAATTCATAGCAGGGCAAGTTATTTATAATTTTGCACAAACAGAACTACTGTCAACGACCTTAACTATTTGGCCATGAATGCCCAATTTATAGTATTTATAATACTGCACGTTTGTAACGTCATTTTTCATTGGATAATCGTGACGTTTATATAGTTTTATATACACGGCTGTTGTCGACTCATGAGGAAATCTTAATTTTTTCTCTAAAAATGATGCTTGCTGTATTATAAATTCGTTATAAAGATTGTTGACAGGTTATATGGCCGTATATAAACGGCTGTTTGCAATATAACCCTCGCCTAGCAGCTCTGGTTATATTTACAAATAGCCGTTTATATAGGGCCATATAACCTGTCAACGATCTTTATAACTAATAATATATTTTGAATATACATGTAGTTCTTAACAAAATTTTGATTAAGCTCATTTAAACATTATTTTAATGTAACCTCAATTGCAGCAGGGACATTAGCTTTTGGAATATGGAGCCCCAAACAATTTCCCGCTATCTCTTTCACTTGACTGCAGGTGTGAGGGATTGCAGTGCCAGTTGGTTGGTGTATGTTTGATCTCTATTAAGAAATATAAATGTAAAGTCATGTAACATATTTTTGTATTACAGGTTCAAGATAATCCAAATAGATTGGACACAGTGGCCGACGTATCCAACGTTAACGTTGAACTATCTAAAGAGACACTAGACACAATGTTAGACGGGCTGTCTAAAATTAGGGATCAGTTATCATCAGTGGCTAATAGATAGTAATCAAATAAGACTTTAAATGATCAATTACAAGGACCAGTTTTATAATAATTACCCTTACCATGCCAAATATCTTAAAATGGATTTGTCCATCTTTCAAATTGGACATGACCATTTATCAATTTTAGGGAATATTTCAAAATGTGTACAGTTTGAATAGCCGACAGTGCAGACAAATGATCAGAAGGCACCATTGTGACGGCTGATTTTGGTCTGCACTGGTCGCATGGCTAAATTTAGTAGCCTTTACCCTGTTTTGGGTCTAAAATACTTGCATATTTTAGCAGCATGCCTCCAGATGAGTAAAATTTGTTTATTAGAAATGAAACTTAAGAAAAATCAATTAAAGTTTAAAAAATGTCCACAAGGTGGAACTTTGAATGTATTTAGCAAATTATGACAGAATTTACTCATTTTATTACCACAATTTTTCTCCATTTTTAACATTGTCAAAGAAATGTTTGCATTATTAGCACAAGTTAAAGGTAAATTCTGTGGATAGTGAGTGCCTAAAGTTAGCTTAAAGCACTTATTCATTTGTATGCTTGACAACAATTTTACTCATTCGGACAATTCTGAAGTTTCGTAAAAATTAATAAAGAAATCTAGGGGCATGCTGCTTTATTGGTACAGTACTACTATACTTATGTATTGTTCAAAGAAAATGTGAAATAAAGAAGTAAAATTTCCGTCTGTTAGATAGAAAAAGAGATGAAAGTTGATAGTACTGAGCACAGCTGTGATAAGTTCATCATAACATGTAGTAGTCTTTGAAAAGAAATTCATTTGGTTAAGATCCATTTTGAAATGTATGATTTTGCTCTGTGCCATCCCCCACCCAATTTATCAATACATTATGACATTGTCCTGTGCTTTATATGACTTACATTTATATACCCAGTACATGTATGTTACATTTATATGGTCCCAGTATATATCATTTGTCATTTATTAATCATGGAATTGTTTCCATATTCCATCACTGAATTGTTTCCATATACCTTATTTTTGCAAACATTTAATTAATACATGTAAATGAATACCGTACTTTACAATTAGCTTTATAGTAAAAGTTATACATTGTAAGTGAATCAGGCAAATTACTTTAGTTGTGATTGATCATGAAATCCTTTATATGGTCATTCACACTATACCTCTGCTCTGGCATGTACAGAAGTAACTAGCAGGTCCGTGCAAAAGTGAAGTCATATCATACTGGTTAACCTCTTGACAGTCTGCTTAGGGCAAGATATTACATGTACATGTACCTGGTTATGATTATTTTTTTCTGATTGACAAATTTTGTTATCTAAATTGACTACTGTCAGATTCATATTGTGAATTTTTAGAATATTTGACTGTACCAGTACTTCTTTTTCTTGCCTTTCTTCTTGGTATAGGTCTGAAATGCAAAAAATTGCATGTAACAAAATAATCAATATATGAAACTCCAGATAGTGTACATATAAGGCTGAACAAATTGTTGTGAACTTTGATTTTACATTATATCATTTCAAATTTTGATATCAGTTTGTGCAATAAAATATAAACTATGTAAATGTTGTATTTATTATATTTTATTTGTGTTTATGCTTGTATTCCATTTTAAATGAGGGTCCATCTGCTGTTAGTCTTTGTCCAATCTGTAGATCTGATTGCCACCATATTTGTTTTGGCTTCATTGTGAAATAGCTATTTTTGGCCATGCAATCAAATCATCCTTTACAGATAGACCTCAGACAAAATATCGCTGTCCATGGAAGAAAAACAAGTTGTTGATTTTTGTAAGAAAAAAAATTGTTTGAAGTAATTTGAAAATAACAGACTGAATTTTTAATAGGCAAGATTGTTTTGCCAGTTCACCTGCCGGCTGTAGGACAACGCCATGTTTGTTCTCGAAATCGTGAAAATGATCTACTCAATTTATGTTTTCCAGCAGTTGAAATTAGAAACCATATCTCTTTCAAAATTGTTAAAGCTTGCAGAAGATTAGCTATTTGAAGGTCACGAGAAAGTGACCTGTTGCCAGTTGGTGCCTGTCAGCTCCTAATGCATAGTGTTATTAAGGGGCTGATTTGAATCAGACTGGTCTTTGCCCTACTTCATTGTCTATTTTGAAATTTTCTTACAGTCTATTTTACATAAACTGTCTTCAATATTTGTGTACTTAACTATTAAAACTTTGCATCTGTGTTGATTAACATTACACGCCCCTACAAAAAGGAGTTCAACAACCAAGTTGAGTTAGAATCTTTTAAGAAAAATGAAACTTTAAACAGGTACAGTGACTCTTTTTTGAGAAATTTAAATTGTTAAGTATTTAACTTATACATGTAATGCACTAAATGTAGCATTATGCAAATCTTGGATATATCACTGCCTTAATTTTAAAGCACCTCTCATGTTCTGCAATGTTCATAGAATAGTTAAATCCCATTTTGTGACTGTGAACAGAGGTGTATGACACCTAGAACATACAATAACCTGAACAGTAGGCATGGGTAGAACTTATCAGGGATGTTCTGCCAATTAATAGTGCTACATTTTTATGCTGTCTTAAAATACAGATGCATTCGCACCTTGTTTATCTTCTTCGATTATAGACCGACCAATACACATTCCTCGTAATGATATTTATATTGTAAAATATAGACCTTCACACATTTTCCTTGTAATGATATTTATATTGTAAAAATATCTTTCCTGTAATAATCAAAGACAAAGTTACTATCTGAGTTGCCAAGTTGTCACACACATTAAGGGTCAACTGGAAAAAATGTATCTTAAAATAGAGTGACCATCTTCAATCTTAATATTAAAGTTTTACAGGATGATCAGGAGAATTGTACAAACACATCTAAATAGAATAGGCTGTGTAGACCTTCAGAAAAGGCCAGAAAATCTCGGCTATTTCTACAAATGGCATTTATCTTATGTACCATAAATGATGGTTGAAATTTTGCAAAAAAACTTTGCAATAGTATCCAGCTAAAATATTTTATCCTTACAAAGTGGAATAATTCACTACCTATCAAGGCTAGAGTTATTGTACTTCAAATGACCTCTACCTCACTGTAGTTTAATTTATGAGAAACAAAAGCTGTCCAAAAGACAGCACGCTCGGATGTGCGACCAAATAAGGATAAAGGGCCATTTCTATTGTTATTTTCTTTTGTTTAATATTGTTTTATTTTCTTTTGACCATTAGCCCCTACCTCTATTGTCAATGAATGAACTCTTATTATTTTCTTTTGTTCTTTCAGCAGTTAGATGGCCCCCTATCCCTATTCGGTAGTGTGACTATTCTGAGTGTTTTAAAGTAATGAAACATAACTCTGTAAAAAAGTAACTTGGATTTATAGGACCTGTGCCCATTATTATTTAAATAATCACAGGAAACGAGTGTGTGAAGTTTAAACCCATTTCCTAAAATAGTTTCAAGTTGCTGGCAAAAACTTTACTCAAGTTAAGCAGATGCCAGGGTGAGTACAATTGCTCCCTCTATTCTTCATATAGTGGAACTAATAAAATGGCATACAACTTTGATTATTTCAATGGCTGAACGCAACACTGGCCTCACTTATTTTTTTTTTTTCAAAATGACTTTTTTTTCTCACTTTTTTAGCCTAAAGTTATTGCAGGAAATACACCAGTAAATAAAATATTAGAAATAATTGTAGAATTGCCACCGCGCTATTTGCTCCATCTCAAATGTGAGTATTACTTAAATGCAACAGAGAGCTGCATATTTAAATTAGTTTTAGATTTGTTAGTTCCTTAACAAACTAGAACTATTACTAAATGTGATAAATACCCCGCAAAACTGCCTCGGAAATGAGAAAGTTTAACTAGTAACAGAATACCTTGCAAAAGAAATCGAAATAGAGTTATGGTGGTGGGCAATTAAAATAGTTGTGGTTTTTGTATGTTGCATTTCCTTTCAATGTTGTTGACTATTGATGAAGTTTTATTGAATAACTCTGTAATAAGTCCAAAAAGAGTTATGCTTCTTGAGCACTGCACTTCCTCTCATTGCGCTTGACCATTAAATGAAGTTTCATTGAATTCTAAACATTAGTTTTTAGCTTGACTATTCGAAGAATATTATAGTCTATTGTAGTCGCCTCGGCGTCGGCGTTGGTTAAAGTTTTTTGTAAAGTCAAATATCTCAATTATTGCTTAAGATATTCAATTGAAACTTACAATACTTATTTATAGTAACAATGTGCATCAGATTGAGAAGTTGGATAACTCTGCCTACAATATTTACATAATTATGCCCCTTTTTAACCAAGAATTTTGGTTAAAGTTTTTTGTAAAGTCAAATATCTCAATTATTGCTTGAGATATTCAATTGAAACTTACAATACTTATTTATAGTAACAATATACATTAGTTTGCAAAGTTGCATAACTCTGCCTGCAATATTTGCAGAATTATTTGCCCCTTTGAAACTTTGGTTTAAGGTCTTCAAAGATATTTACTTAAAACTTTACACATGTACTTAGGGTCATAATTGAAGGTCACATCTCATTACTCTGCCATGTATTTTGACTGAATTATGCTCCCTTTTGTACTAAAAAAAATCTCCTTTTCTTGGCTAAGTTTAACATGCAAGTTTTGCATATCTCTGAAACTATTAAAGATACAAACTTGAAACTTCATATATATATTTGTGGTCATAAATAATGATCACTGAACAGCACTCATATCTGTGTCAAGTATTTAGGCTGATTTATCTCCCCCTTTTTTACTTTAATAGTCTCTTGGTTAATGTTTCCATGTAAGTTTTACATATCTCAATAACTATCAGAGATTTTGATTTGAAACTTCACATATGCATGAAGGGTCATAATTGTATGTCACTGACCAAGTTCCATAACTATATCTTGCATTTAGGCTGATGTATCTCCCCTTTTCTACTTAGTCTCTTGGTTAATGTTTGCATGCAAGTTTTACATATCTCAATAACTATTAACCCATTACGCGATATACACGCCTTTTAACGCCTTTTTCAAACCCCCCCCCTTTTATTGTCTCAAATGGTGAAAAAATGCCTTATTTAGGCACCTGACTTGTTTTTGTTTGAGAAATGTTGTTAAAAAAAGTGACCACTTTCTCGGCGCGGCCCCCGAACTAAAAGATACATCAGGGGGCTGCCAGAAGGGGGATGTGCCCCCTTCTGTTTGGGGGGTTTGAATGGGGGCAGAGTCCCCCTCACCGCCAAGAAAATTTTGCACTTGTGAGAGGCTATAAATGACCCCAGATTGATCATAAGGTAACGTGTAACCAACAATGAAATGCATTTGACTCTATCTCAATCTATTGAGAAGTTGGAGCAATTTTGATGGAAAAAATCAACGCAAAATAGTGATTTTTGGCAATTTTGAGATGTCCCCTTGTTGCCATGGTAACGGAAAATTTAAGTCTGAGCATGTTGTTGCAAGGGCAATGGTCCAGTCAACATTTGTGCTAAGTTTAATTAGTGTTGAAGCAGTTTTTATAGTATTATAGCAATTTGAACTTGTAACTGGAGACTTTTCAATGAAAACAGCCATTTTTCTCAAAATGCTCATGAAGTAATGGGTTAAAGATATTTATTTAAAACTTCACATATGCATTAAGGGTCATAATTGTAGGTCACTGACCAAGATCCATAATTCTATCTTGCATTTAGGCTGATTTTTCTCCCCTTTTTCAACTTAGAAATTCATGGTAAAGTTTTGCTTGTAAGCTGTTATCTCCAGAACTACTGAAGGGTTTGTGCTTTTTTTGGGACAATTTTATGCAATTATAATAATAAAGCAGTGATTTACTTGATAAAACATCTTAATAACAAGCCTTTGTACCTTTTCAGTCAATTTTATGTATTCATAGGTAATCATTATTATACTCAATAAAACACCCTTGTGACAACTTTTTCAAATAGTGGAGCCTTACTGTCCTCCGACAGTTCTTGTTAAGTTATGCACCTGACAAGGAAAAGGAACAAAGGGCAATAACTCTACAAATACTAAAGATGGAGTTATGGTTATTGTACACTGCACTTCCTCTTATTATGCTTGACCATTGTTTGAAGTTGTTTTGAATTCCAACTTATGCTCCAGACAAGGAAAAGTAACAAAGGGCAATAACTCTGTAATTTGTCAAAATGGTGTTATTTTTCTTGTGCACTGCACTTCCTCTTCATGTGCTTGATGATTTTATGAAGTTGTATTGAATTCCAACCAGTAGTTTACAAGTAATGCTCCAGACAAGGAAAAGTAACAAAGGGCAATAACTCTGTAATTAGTCAAGATTGAGTTATGGTTCTTGTGCACTGCAATTTCTCTCAATGTGCTTGACCATTGTATGAAGTTGCTATGAATTTCAACCATTAGTCTTCAAGTTCTGTTCCGAACAAGGAAAATGCAACAGACAGCTGGACCGACCGACCAACCAAACGACTGACCACTGTGTGATACCTATATAAAAAGGTATGATCGAGAATGGTAAGGGAAATTTATTTCAATAAACAGAACAACGTCATTTACCTTTAGACTGATTCACATTTATTTTT